AAGGTCTTTGCTATGATGGGATATGTGTGGGATCAGTCGCTCAAAAAGTACAGATTTTATCGGCGCTCAACCATGGCTGCAGCTGCCTCCTCGAGTGAAGAAAGTGCTGATGAGTCAGAGGGTGGAGAAGATGAAGAAGCAGAAGGAAGCTCAAGTGAAGATGAAGACAATCAAGGTGACAATGCAGGAGAGGCACAAGAAACCGCTGATGAGACTCAGCTGGACCACGATATTAATGAAGGTCATCAACCATACGTGCCTTCTGAAAACTATCAACAAACATATCAAGATGACAATCAACACAATAACTGGTCTGCCTACTCAAACCAACAGGAAAATGAGGATGAGGAGAATAACCAAGGCTGGGGTGAATGGCAATACACCGGGTGGACCACCCTTGGCAAATTCTATCAGCCGTATCAACCAAGCACTGCAGACCCACCTTCTCCTCAACAACCGTCAAACAATTCGGAGATTTTAGAAATGATGCAGTCGATGCAGTTGGAACAGCGAAATTTTATGACCAATATGCAGGAACAACAGCAAAAATTCATGAGGGATCAAAATGAAAGAATGGCACAAATTCGTTCTGAACTGCATAACCAAAATGAACGGATCAGTGGAATGTCGACTCAGCTGGACGCTCGATTCGAGACTCTAACTCACTGTCATCAAGCTGAAGAGCGCGCCATTGTCGACAGTCTTGACTTTTTGAATAACATCACAGAAGAATTTACTGATCTAGCTCATCCCCAACGCCATCCTCATTACTATGACAGGCGTGGTCGTGGTCGCGGACGTGGACGGGGCTATTAGCATGCGCTCATATGTCATTTGTTGTTTCCTGTTTTGGCTTGCATTCATTTTGTTTGTTGTGTTTTGCTTTTCTGCCCAAACTCACTATGATTGTTGCTTACTTCTATGTTGCTATCATGACATTTTTGTGGTTCTGTAATCTATTAACTGTTATCTCCATCGTATGTATAACTGTTGTTTACTTCTCATCTGTTGGTATCTCATTTATGCATGATTCAATGTGTTGTTATTGTGTCACGAGTTTACCTCTTTTTGATGTTGTCAAAGGGGGAGAACCGAGCAGTAGATAGACGATGATTACGACCGCTATAATTGTAAAAGAAAGGGGGAGCATACCTATACCTATCACGTGTTGCGTAACAGTAGGTTGCCATCATCAAAAAGGGGGAGAATGTGAAGGCAAAGTATCTACCAACACAAGCGTGCCTCTGGTTTTTGATGATGACAACTTGCTAAGAGATATCCTTCTTTCGTTTAAATCATTCACGCTACTTATGATTCAATTTTTACAATGACGTAATGCACAAAAAGCTGTAGAAATTTATGTTTTTGCAGATTTTTGAACCATGAGCCGACCATACCGTCAGCACACAGTTTCATTCAGTTCACACGGGTCAGCGCATGGAACCATGCGTCGACCGTTAACTTGGCGCATGCAGGTTTAAGAATCAGACGGCTCAGCGCATGACAGTTTGAGTGTCACACGGCTCAGCGCACGCCGACCCTATGGTCGACCGTTCGCGCGCAGAAACAGAAATTCTGCTATGTTTCATTGATCTGTCAACTGTCTGTTTTGTATTACTATAAATAGCTGTCTTTTCAATTTTAACAACCAACATTTTTGAAAGCATTGTGAGAAAGTGTTCAGGTCAAGAAACGTGAAAGAGGTGCATCAGTGTTCTTCATCTTCATCGTTCAATCAACTCACAAATCCTCAAATTACAGATAATCAATTTTTTTGCTGCGGTTTGTGGTTTGCTCGACGGTGATAAGGTTCGAACGCGTGATTGAAGATCCGGTTCGAGTGGAAGCTGGTGCAGGTGTTTCTTGGGAGAAAACCTTTGAGGTTTTACCTATCAAGACTACAGGTTTTGAAGGCTTTTGTTACGGAATCGTCGGTTCAACAATCAAGCGAGTGCGAAGGTGATTGATTAGCGGAAGGTTGATCAATCTAGTAGCTAGGGCGTTGAAAGGTTGAAGACGTTCCGGGTTCAATTTGGGTGTGTCTAAGATCAGCCGTGCCGAAGGTTTGATCAACGGAAGAGTTGTCAATAAGGTGGCTGCAATCGGAGGTCATTCACATCAAATTGGAGGACTTGATTCATCTTGAATCAAGGGGCAAGAAGTGGTAGAAATTATCAGCAACATTAAGATTGTTTGTATCAATTGTCTATCGATTCTTGTGTATAACTGTTCTACCAAACAGGTGATATCTATTCAATACATATCTCAATTCTCATTGTAGAATTGAGGGCAGACGTACCCCAACGCGAGGACGACTGGGGGAACTGCCTCATCAAATCTTGTGTTCCTTTATTTTCTGCATTTTCAATTACAGCTTAAAAATTAAGTGATTCTAGAATAAGTGATTTTGTCAAATTGTAGTATTGATTGAGTGAGTTGGTGAAACACTGTTTTTTAACTACTAAGTACAATAGAAATAATGTACTAAGGCTTTTTCAATCACTCATTCAACACAAATATCATTTAAGGTATTTGTGCACACCAACTGTTCGACAAAAGTGCTGAACTAAAATTGCCTTAATTTTGCTGCTAGTTTTGGTGTAATTTTTGATCATTGGAATAAGGAAATAGTACGAGTGAATCACATCTGAGTTTTGCATAAAAGTGTGTAGTGATTTACTATCCGTTATCGTCTTAAATTCATCTGCTTGACGCATATCCGGCTCTCCAATAGTTGTTCGTTTTAGACTATATTTTCCAAGGCCGCTTCCGCATTTGAAAACAATTTTGAAAACCAATTTTATTGGTAGCGCCACTCAAATTTTTAAAAGGGATCTATTCAACCCCCCCTTCTAGATCCGTGCCTTAGTCTAACAAAAAAAACATAGTAAAAGAAGCTTCTTATACACAGACAAAGAAACCGCATGATTTAATGGTACCTTTTCAAAGATATTTTTTAAACCTTAAGACATGAAAAACTTTGAACAAAGAGATAAACTTAATATCAAAGAAAATCAATTTAGTATTATTAAGGTTAAGTATTTAAATGCATAATAACTCATCAATTGATAACATATCAGAAAATGAAAATTAAAAAAATTAAAACAGAAATTGATGAGTAGAAGATAACAAGAGATGAGGATTACCTCATCAATTGATAACATATCAGAAAATGAAAATTAAAAAAATTAAAACAGAAATTGATGAGTAGAAGATAACAAGAGATGAGGATTACCTCATTTACTACATCTTTTTATTTGTAATAGGTAAAGTTACCTTAGTACCACCATTAATAATCATATCGTTGTACAATAATTTTGATTTGCGGTAGAGAAAAGAGTAGAGAGAGATGATTTTGATTTTTTAACTTAAAACAACTTGAATATATAGTAACAAATCTAAAAGAAAAAAAATATTAAAGGTACACCCATTTGCAGCAAAAAAATAAGGGGGGTGGGAACATGTTGTGAGATGAATTAGGTTAAGTTAAAGTAGAAAAAAGAGGTAACAACATTGACCGGTTCGCATAAAAAATTAAGAGAAGTTGTATGTGATGGAAATAGTGGGCAAATGACTATATTTTATATAAAATATATTATGCATCTTAACTGAATAAATTGCATTGTTCTAGTTGTTGGATTCTTGAGCGAGCATTGGGAGGAAATGAGTTTGATACCTTCTGCTTGCATTTCTTTTTTTATTTATTTCCTTTATTATTTTAGTTAATTTATGTCTAATATTATCTAATTAGGTAAAACATGACTTAAGAATTATAATTTTGATGATTTATATCCAACTCTTAACTACAAAGACTACATATGACTTAGTAATCCTTACTCTGACTATTCCGTACAAAGCTCTGATTATTTCAATGAGAACAATTTTTTTTTTATTTACATTGATGAGATGACATTCTTACTAAGCTAGCAACGAAAATTATTTCAACGAGAACACATTTTTTTTTTATTTACATTGATGAGATGGCATTCTTACTAAGCTAGCAATGAAAATAATGAAACAAGAATGAATAAATTGTTATAATGTAATAACTTATTTGTGAAATCAATTGACAAACACACTCTAAGCTATTAAAGTATGAAAAGAACTTCATAGATTCAAGAATCACAGAATATTTGGGAAGTAAAATTAGAAAAAGGAAATCAAAGCAAAGTGAAATCAAGGAAATCAAAGACTTAAAAAATACCAGAAAGAAAATGACCTAACAAAATTAGCTTCATGTGATGCAATTATATAATCAATCAATGGAAAATTTGAAGAAGTGAAAACTCACTGATACCAAAAACTTGAAGAAGTAAAATAAAAAATGAGAATTATATTAAGATTAACAATCACTTCAAGTGACGGCGACAGAGAGATACTTTGTGCGAAGTAGATCTGACGGCCATAAATTGAATAAGTAATAAAGATGAGGCACGATACTGATTACAAATAAAACTTCAAACTGGAAACCTTAAGTAGGAGAAAAAGATGTGGTGTAGAAAGAGAAATTGAATTAATTCTAAATAAAAATCAATTTTAATTTATTTTAAAATCTTACAAAAAGTAAGAAAATAAATTAAAATCTTACATGTGTTCTCACATTTTATTATATTAACTTTAAAACATTAATTTAATTTTATGATTATTTTTCTAAGGTGAAAGACTTAGTTGAACCCTCACCCTAGATGTCACCATAAATTAAATACTTTTGAAATTATGCTTTTCTTAATGAGACATAATTTCACAAAAAAGTAAAAAAGAAAAAGAAAAAGAAAAAGAAGGGAATGTGTAAATAAACATAGGGGTGTGAAGAGAACATTCCTAATGCAAATGACTAAGTCTCAATAGCCTAGAATTGGCCCAGCCCATTTTTTCGGACTAGGGTTTCGTATAAAATCTAGGGTTTTGTTTCGATCATTCGTCTTCAAACAGAGTCTGCGCTTCGAGCATCACTGCCTATTCACTTAAGGTTTTTCACCGGCGCGGCGCGGAACAACAATATGGCGGACAAGGCAGTCACTATCAGAACCAGGAAGTTCATGACTAACAGGCTTCTCTCAAGGAAGCAATTTGTGAGTTTCTCTTTTCCGCTCTCAATTATTTTTCTAAAAACCCTAATTTTAAATGCTATGGATTCATCTGAGGGGTTCAGATCTTTGTACACTGTAATTTGTATAACGTTATAGTTTAATCGTTTTGGAAATTGATTTGTGATTCTGCTTATTTGAAATAGTTTTAATTGTTTTCCTCCGACTTAGTTAATTTAGTCGATTCCTAGTAGATTCCGTTCAAACGCTATTTTTATATGAATGTACGAGTTTAAATCTATTTTTTTCACAGAAATTATTTACTAATTTATTTAACTAATTGTTAGATGATTAATCAATACTAAGCTTGTATCTTTACTAGTTCCTAACGATATCATATGTTTCTCAGAGGATTAATTATTTTTGGCTGATGCAGTTAAGCAGGGTTTTCTATTATTATTTTAGTTGAAATGGTAGTGGTTTTCTGACTCAATTTCATAATTTGATGTGATGCAGGTCATTGATGTTCTTCATCCAGGAAGGGCTAATGTCTCAAAGGTAGTTTTGGTTATGTTTTGTGATTTACTCTCTGAAAATAATATTACCAGAAAATAATATTACCAGATGTAGACAAGTTTTTTAATTGATTTATTCCTATGATGAGTCTTGATTTTTATTGTTCTATTTGATGAAATTGTTATATCTTATATTGAAGGCCGAACTCAAAGAGAAGCTGGCAAGAATCTATGATGTGAAGGACCCAAACACCGTTTTTGTGTTCAAGTTCAGAACTCATTTTGGAGGAGGCAAGTCAACTGGTTTTGGTTTGATCTACGATTCTGTTGAGAATGCTAAGAAGTACGAGCCAAAATACAGACTTATCAGGGTGAGATATTCTGTCTTTTCTGTGGATTGTTATCTGTAACTGTTCCTATAAATTTGTAGACTTTTGAATAATTTCTATTGCTGTCAATGTTAACAATATGATTTTCTCAACTGTACTTGGTTATATTTTCTAACCTGGCATATGTTCTACCTAGAACTTGCTGCAATCCCTAAATAAATGCTGGGTTATGAACCTGGCCATGCAATTATTTTTTGAGGTATTTCTCTGCATTTGGTATTATTTGGAATTCTAATGTTTGTTCATTTTTATGTTTTGTAGAATGGACTTGATACTAAGGTTGAGAAGTCAAGGAAGCAAATGAAGGAGAGAAAGAACAGAGCCAAGAAGATTCGTGGAGTAAAGAAGGTAAAACATGTTGACCTGTTAATTTTCTATTGTATAAGTTTTGTTTTGTTAAACCTTAATGTTTAACATCTGCTATGTTATATTTGCAGACCAAGGCTGGTGATGCTGCCAAGGCTGGAAAGAAGAAATAAGTTTTCAGATATTTTGTTATGATATTAAAGTTATTTTACTGTTGGTTTTTCTTAAGACTATTTCATAGTCTTATAGCTTTCTAGAATGAAGGATTTTGCTTAGTTGTCTTTTGTACTTTAACATTTATGTGCTGAGCTCGAGTACCAGTGACCAATTTTGATTATTCTGCTGAACATTTTATATGCATTCATTTTGTTAATTTATTGTGATACTATTTCCATTTTGTTTAGTTCAATGTTTGGTGATTTCCTATTAAAGTATTTGAAAAGAAATTGCTTTCTGTACATTATACTCCTTGATAGTTTCAAGAACTGTCTGAGTATCTTAAGAAAATTCACTCCATAATTGGTTCAATTAATATAGTTAACTCTGCTCTTGAACATTTTGAATCTTATTCTTGAAGGCTTACCTCAAGAATTTGAATACAATATATACATAATCAACTTTGCTTCTTTGTTACAATATATACATAATCAACTTTGCTTCTTTGTTACAATATATACATAATCAACTTTGCTTCTTTGTTACAATATATACATAATCAACTTTGCTTCTTGAAGGCTTACCTCAAGAATTCGAATACAATATATACATAATCAACTTTGCTTCTTTGTTACAATATATACATAATCAACTTTGCTTCTTTGTTACAATATATACATAATCAACTTTGCTTCTTTGTTACAATATATACATAATCAACTTTGCTTCTTTGTTACAATATATACATAATCAACTTTGCTCCTTTGTTACAATATATACATAATCAACTTTGCTTCTTTGTTACATAAAACGCCTATATCACTTTTGTAAACAAACATTAGTCATTGTGAATATTGCTATACTATATATGCACCTGTAACATCTAACTCATCTATATATTCACCCTACAAATTCATTAAGCATTCACCAACAGTCCCCTTTCAGTTATCAGCAATGACCAAAGTTTGTAGTTAATTTCAATTTATTCTGCAAAATCTGCAAAATATTCTTCATGTTCCAACATTAACAAAAAACTTACTAAAGTCAATTTGCTCTTGTAGAATGCCAATGAAGTTTTTCTCAAGCGCAAACTTGGTTCAGCGGGCCTATATCAACTTCCTCTTATCCATTTAAAGAGAGCCTCTGTTGCACTTAATACATCTCTTAATAAATATTTAGCCTCTTTAGGTTTGGTGATGTACAAAGACTAGTTTTTCAAAAATGAAATAATTCTTAAAATTGTTTCAAAATTTTGTTCTTCATGTTGTATGGGTAAATCACAGACTACCCTTAGACTCATCCACACAAATATATTCTAGTCCTCTATAAATTGTTTACCGTAAATTGACGGGGACCTGCATCTTTTATTTCAAGCACTGATTATTCTTATTATATTTCATTTGTTGATGCCTTTACCAAATTCACTTTGTTATACCTTATAATAAAAGTCAGATGTTGTCCTCATCTTTCAACAATTTAAGATCATGATTGAGCTACAATTCCCTTTTAAAATCAAAGTTATTCAATATGATTAGGGTGATGAGTTTCGTCCCCTCGCCAATTTAATTACTCAATTAATTATTACTTGTTGAATAAATGATTTCAAACACAAGAGAGATAGAGAAATAAATTGTGGTATTTAAAATTTATGAATAGTTTTAGAAAGTTGTTTACTTAAAACAACACATTATTTTAGTATTAAAATAATACAGAAAAGTAACGGAAAAAAAGAAATAATAGAAAATAAAGAGAGATTTATATAGGTTTGGGTGAATGTTGGCCTAATCCCCTCGCAAAGAGATATTCTTAAGAATTTTAACAATGACGTGAGCTTTTTACAGGTTATTCCCACGTATCTTTGTTACAAGCAAATCGAAAGATTTGACACCGCCTTATCTTCTAACCAAACAAGAGCTTTTCCATTGGTTGAACTCACAAATTTAATAAAGATTTTATCAGCTAATCTCGATAACCAAATATAACTTTTATCGGGCTGAGTTCTAAAACTACACAAAATTTTTCACTTCTTTATCTCTAGAATCAAAACAAGAACCTCAAGAGAATCTCTATTGAAATAAACAAACAAGGCACGACTATAGCATAAAATGTTTCTCTTAAATTTTTTTCAATCACAAGGCACTAGGGCAACTTTTGGTGAACGAAAAATATCATAGAGAGATGAAAATAGTAATAAAATAGAAAGAAGTAGAAAAAAATCCAAATTATGGGGTAATTTTGAGTGAAGAGAAACCTCAATAATATAGGAGAAAATATGGCTTAATAAAACAATATATGGACCGAAATAATGAGATAATCAATTATGTTAATCGATTATTACATGTGAATAATCAATTATTCAAGGCACAAATGGAAGAGTTTGATACTTAGTTATTTCCAATTATTAAGAGATTTGTTCCAAACGATTTTAAGCGTTACAATTTTTTTTTGATTATAGCACTAGAGATAACTGATTATTTATTTGTAAAATAGCTCCCAGTTGATCAGAAAATTAACTAATCTGTGAGATATTGGATCGAACTCTATTTTGGCATGCCGTCGAAGTATGCTCATATGCTGTTGTTGAAGACTTACATGCTGTAGTCGAAATGTGCTCTAGTATGTGGTTGTCAAATTGGACCTTCTATTAAGGATCCAATTGTTTATGTTAACTTGTACCCTAACTTAGCTCGTAATGAGTAATTGCTAAAAAACCTATTAGTTTAGTGAGTTAGGATTTATTATAAATAGCATACCAGTCTCTCATCTTAAGTGCGACAAATCCTAATTAGGGTGAGAGGGTTATTTGTTTTTCTTGAGTACTTGTAATCTGTTTAAAGAGAAAGTAAAGAATATCAATTATAACCAATCCTTGTTATTCTTCTTCTTATTTTTCCTTCAACCCTAACCCTCATGTGTTTCTTGATCATAAAAAAACCGTTTATACTTTGTGTCAATATATCGTTTTTCACAATAAATTGGTGCGGTGAGCGTGGAGAAAGATGCCTTTAACAAAGTATGAGATTGAAAAGTTCATTGGAGTGAACGATTTCGGTCTGTGGCGCTTGAAGATGAAAACCCTACTGGTTCAACAAGGTTGTTTGGAAGCGTTGAAGGGAGAGGCTACCATGGACGATGTGTTAACGGAAAAAGAAAAGACGACCATGATAGAGAAAGTCTACAATGCAATACTGTTGAGCCTTGGTGATAAGGTTCTCCGACAGGTATCAAAGGAGACTATGACATCGGGGTTATGGTTGAAACTTTACATGACCAAATCTCTGGTAAATCGACTCTACTTGAACCAAGTTTTGTATTCATTCAAGATGAGTGAAAACAAAGTGTTGGCTGAGCAGTTAGATATGTTCAACAAGCTGATTCTTGATCTTGAAAATATTGATGTGAAGATCAATGATGAAGATCAATCACTATTGTTGTTGTTTGTTTTGCCCAGAACACATGCTCACTTTAAAGAAAATCTCATGTATGGAAGGGAGTCCCTGAGCTTTGAAGAAGTTCAATCAACCTTGTATTGTAAGGACTTGAATAAACGAAAGGAGAATAAATCTTCGAATGTTGGTGAAGGTTTGACCGTTAGGGGAAATTCTTGCAAATGGATAGTAAGTTCGACAAAAAGAAAGATAAAAGTAAGCAGAAGTCTTATAGTGGCGAGACATTTGATATTCGATGCTATCACTGTAAGAATGAGGGTCACACAATAAAGGTGTGCCCTGAACGCCTGAAAGATCCTGGAGGTAAGGATAATGGCAACACAACCATTGTTCAAGATGATTTCAACTCATATGATGTCCTTGTGGATTCAAGCAGCGACTCAAGAAAGGAGTGAATTATGGATTCAGGGTGTACTTGACATATGACTCCAAACAAAGGTGTGTTTGAGGAATTGCGTGATCAATGGTGGACCAGTGCTGCTGGGAAATAACAAAGCTTGCAAAATTCCAGGTATTGGACCTGTGAGATTCAAACTCCATGATGAGTCAATAAGGCTATTGATTTAAGTCAAGTAGGTACCTGATTTGAAAAGAAATTTGATTTCTCTTGGTGAATTCGACAAGAAGGGGTATACTTTTCAAGGAGAGAAAAGTGTTTTAAGAGTCATGAAAGGGTCGAAGGAAGTCTTGAGGGGCGTGAAGAGACAAGGCTTGTATACCCTTAAGGATGAAGTTGTAAGTGGTTCGAAAAATGTTGCCTCCACTAAACCTTTGTCGAAGACAAAAATTTGGCACCTGAGATTTGGTCATGTTAGTGAAAGGGGTTTGGTCGAATTAGGGAAACAAAATCTGCTTGGTGGAGACAAAGTAGAAAAGTTGAAATTTTGTGAACCCTGTGTACTTGGAAAATCTTGCAGAATGGAGTTCAACAATGATAAACAAAGAACACATGGATCCCTTGATTACATCCATGCTGATCTTTGGGGGCCTCCATCATATTCAGGAGCAAGGTATTTTCTATCGACAATTGATGATTATTCTAGAAAGTTATGGATATTCATCCAAAAGACTAAGGATGCAAATTTTGAGAATTTCAAAGGTTGGAAGACTCTGGTCGAAAATCAGACTGGCAGAAAGGTTAAGAGGTTGAGAATCGACAATGACCTTGAATTTTACAATGAGGCATTCAACAAATTTGTGTTTCCTCAAGTATTGCAAGGCACAAAACTTCTGCAGGTACTCCATAACAAAATGGTTTTGCGAAAAGGTTCAATCAATCTATTTTGGAAAGAGTTAGACGCATGCTGACTAGTGTTGGGTTAAAGAAGGTGTTTTGGGCTGAGGTTGTTTCAACAATAACATATATGATAAACAGATGTCCTTTGGCTTTGTTAGATATGAAGACACCTATATAAGTTTGGTCGGAACATCCACAAAATCTCGACAAATTGTGAGTATTTGGCTGTGTGGCCTATGCTCACATTAGGCAAGACAATGTCAAATCAAGAGCTCTGGAATGCATGTTCATGGGATATCCTGAAGGAGTCAAACATTATAGGCTATGGTGC